ATTTTCTTTCTCAGAAATTAAATTGTTTTGCTTAACACTTTTTTTTTTTTTTTTTTGACTGTTCACTAAAACATATTCAGCTTTTTCTCTCAGTGCTGCAAAGGGTCTGCTTCATGCACTGGTTAAAAAACTGCAGTTCTTTAAATCAAGATTCATCCCATCCTTGCTATTTGAGCTCCTTGATCACCAGAGGTGATCAGGCAATCTCACTTGGAAATGCTTGTACTTGAAAACAACTAGTAAACTCTGCACTTCATAACTTCTGTTTATTGCCATTGCAAGGCAGCTGCATCTTTTAGGTTCCTCATCAACCGGGTCAGAAAGATTCCTAGTTGTAAGGAAAATATATTAATTTAATGATTAATGAAGTAAAAAAGCTTCAACTAAATTACTAAGAAACATTACAGAGCAGGCTAAAGTAGAAAAGTGTGTTTAAATTGCTGTCTTAGGTCATTAAGTATATTTTTCCTGTGTTAAAAATCTCAGAAGTTATTAAACATGTTTGTGGAAGCAAGAAATTGGGCCATTAATTTTTTTTTCTTTTCCACAAAATAAAAAAAAAAAAAATGTTTCAAGGCTTAGAAAGGTTTTGATATAACATTTGGGCAGCTTAGAGCTCAAACAAAACCAAGTTCTTTGACATCACTTTAATACCTGGATAACTTATAAATGCAGGTTCTCCTTTTTGAACTTGAGGGTGACACTATGGATAGGAGTGATTTGAATACAAATGGATTTGCTGAACAAAATCTTTACTACTCTCTCCACTCTTCATATAAAGGATCTGGGCTGTTCCTCAACTGTCCCATCTTCTTCTTTCCATTCCCCTTTTCCAGTCCAAAATGCACTGATTCCAGTTTGTGCAGTAGAAAGTATTTGATTTATGAAACAAAATTAGTTTTTGCTAACATCCTTAGCTTTTCTTCTCTTTTACTGAGCAAGACTGGCTGTCCAGACCTATATGTCAAGACACCTGAAACTGCCTCCCACTGAAATCATTCGGAGCGAGCAGAAGAATCAACTCAAGGTTCAGTTCTAATCTTAATATAGAAATGTGTCATTGCCGATGAAGCTTCTAATTGCTTCCAAAAATTTTGGAATTAATACAAGAAATATCAACTTCTTGCATCCGAGACTCACTCTAATAATGTGAACAGGCAGTAAATCACTCTTTCATAACTGTCTCTAAAAGTTTAGAAGAGTTATAATTATTACTTTATCTTTTCACTTTTCCATTTATTATCTTTATCGGAGCAGGGGAAATGGCACCTGAGAACATAAGTTTCTAAACTTGTTCACACTAAAGATTTTTGGAAAGCAGAGGAGAAATTTAAATAGAAATCTGTTCTACATGGTTGGAAATCCAGAAGGATGGAGATCATAGGAGACCTCTGTAAAATGACTGATTTTGCCTCAGATGTCTTATCAGGTGCTCAGAGATGATGATTATTAGCAGAATCAGTCACAAATGTTAACTTTGCATGAATTTTTAGTGGACTGATTCTATCATATTGGTGATTAATTTAAAAAAACATAAAACTACTTTTCTACTTTACATAGATCTCTAATGTCTGCACAGATGCTTACACTGCTTCATTGGATGCATATATGGATTAAAACTCAAATGTATTGTAGATATTTTCACATGGAAAGCTGAACTTCTTAAGATAATCAGCTCTGTATATGCTGAGACACTAAAAAATGAGACAACAACAAGAAGTTCACCTTCCAGTCATGTCCAGAACATCATCACAGGTTAGTGTGATGTATTTTGAAAGTTAGAACTCTGGCAATGATTTCAATATATGAAAACTGTGTTTGATTACAGAAGGAAGGCAAAGTCTCAAAAGAAATGTTATAATCTGATACAATTTAGACATACTTTTGTGATAATTCATTTTGTACTAGAATGTAAAGTTTTAAAGAATGTGGGAGTGCATCTATTTGTTCCCATTAATGGATTTATACTAGGCCCTTATATTTACAGAATACTTCTGGTGTGAAACATCAAAGGGAATTTGAGGTCTTTTTAATCATTAAAATCAATTTTCTTAAAAAACACCTGCTGTTTTACTTCTCAAGGAAGGCTCCGTGCAATCAATAGAGAGAGTCCTTCTAATGGAAGTGGCCTTTGCAGAATGCTTGGTTATAGTTTTTTCTTTGTATAAGGATCATCATAATCATCATCTATGGCATTTGTACATTTGTCAAGGTCAATAAAGGAAACCGATCTATTTTAATTTATTTTCAGTCAATTTCAATACATGTATCTTAGTGTTAACGGGTTCTAAAAGTAAATGTATTCAATTATGATATTTCACTGGTTGTATAAAAAAGGACAATGTTGTTTTAAAAGTGTATCTATGGGTACTATATCGACTTTTGTATCTATCAATCAGAGACACTTGGATCAACTGCAGACCAAATTTCTCTGCTTCAACTGAAAGCAGAATGTAATTCTTGTCTAGAAATACCTGTATTATCTGCATATACTGTAGGGTAGCTTACAGAAATTCATTCCATCTGCCTATTCTCTGTACAACATTTGAGAAGAACTGGTGTAAATATTTAATATTTCTAAGAATGCAGTAAAACATTCAAGAGCTTGACTATGTCCAGTCACATTAATGGATTCAAATCTCACGTGTCCAGGGTTGGCTGTGTATTCATAGAAGAGAAAAAGGTGCTGAGATGTTGTGTTCCTGCAAACAGGTTATCCTGGCTTCATGCACTGACAAGATTAATTGCAGACCTCTGAACCTGATATGTTTTCTTAATATCCAACATAGCTCTTACTTTTCTCATTCAGGCTGAAATACGTGGCTTGCTCTTGCATAATTCAATACCAGTCTTCTCTGTGTGTGACACTGTTTTTACTCATTGTAAGCACCTGCAAATTACTAAAGTCAGTGATACAATGCACAGCAGTTTGCTTAGAGTTATTTCAATTATTATGGAAAGAAAGAAAATAAGCTTTTTTCCAAACTGCCAGAACACTGCAGAAGAGAATGCAGTCATATGTAGATTCCACTCTCTGGTGTGGCCCAAGTTCACTTTACATCTGCTGATTGAGTCGTTCCAATATTTCTTCTGGAAGCTGATACTTTACATTTTTAATTTTTTTTTTTTTCTGATAGTATGCTGACTGAATGTGTTAGATGACAAAAACACCTATTTAGAAACTTCCTGTTTCATAATCTATGAAAACACACTGCAAAACTAATTTTCCTCAGCTGGGACTATCCCAATACTCTAAAAGTGTAAGAGACCACGGAGGAAAGAAAAACTAAACTTTACTTACATGAAATATATCCCGCTTTATTAGCCTGTAAAATAAGGAATACATGAATACATAAGGCCCAAGTTTACCCTCTCTAACTGAAGGTTTATATTGAAGGTGCTGAAGACATACTGGGACATGGTAGCTATAGGATCTCTATATCGTTAAAACCAAGAGGCAGGTATGGATAAGAAGCCAGCAAGCCAACAAATGGCATGAAACACGTGGTGGAAATATAGGGAAAATATACTTTATTTTGAAAAAGAGGTCTATTTTGGAAAATTTTAATTGAACTTCGGCAGTATTTCATTAGTCCCAAGATAGTGATGATTCAGTTTATAAAGCTTGAAACAATTCTGCTCTTTGGTCTCTAATATTCTAGTATGTTCTTCAGTACCTAATCTCATCTTTCTCTTAATCCTGTGATGCCTTCAAATTAGCAAAATAGTGTGTACATGTTCTGTGATGAAATAGTGTGCGCAACAGAAATGAACAATTCATGAAAACTGTAGAGTGGTGTGCTGAAAAAGAAAGTGGGCTGGAAAGAATTTCAAAGTGACACCTGCTCTGAAGTTGGACGTGAAGACCTCCAGAGGTTCCTTTCAACCTAAAGTGTTCTGTGACTCTGCAATTCTGGGTTTGTAGAATTATTCCAAGAACATTAAAGTAGGTAGACAATGATATGTTGAAAGCAGTGGGAATTTGATAATGTCAATGATAATTTGATAATGTCATTCACTAAAATATCAGGCATATTCCTATCCCCATGACTGTTCTAAATATTCCAAAAAGAAATGCTTTGTTTATATTTGTCATGAATGCTAAGTTCTTAGAAATTATTAATTACAGTGATTTGAGGTTTAATTAGAATGTTTAGTGGTTTGGTATAAGTAGATTCATTTTTAATGCTAGTTGTTAATTCTATGACCATTTTCCTCTTTTAGAAAATCTAAAATAAAGTCCTCTGATGAAATATATAAATTCTCATGGGAGATTTCTTTAGTCCAGAATTGAATTTGCACATAAATGTATATCACACAGATGAGTGAACTGCTAAATTTCAGCCCAGAATAATCGACCGCCTGTTGGGAAACTTAACATGTCCATGACCAATGTTGAAGTCTCATATGTGACTCAAAGAGAGGATAACACAAGTCCTCAGTATCAGTTTAACCATTGTAGAGCTCTATTCCATTCTGTTTTTTTCTTTCCAGGCTCATTCTATTTTCTTTTAAAGTAATAAAATTGGATTATTAGGGGTTTTTTTAATCCAGTCCCCTCCTACCTGTGGTTAGGTACATAAGAGTGAGAAATCATCTTCATAGATTACAGTGCAGGAGAAGAAATTTGATTTATATCAAAATGACAATAAGAATTCAGAATATTCCACCTCAAAATTATGACATGACATGGACAACTATATTTTAGATAATTAAGGATATTCTAATTCCTCTTCCTTTCAATCCTGTAAGCAGAAATAATAATTTAATGTTAAGCTTAAACTTGATATTAATATTTTACTCATATTAATATGTAAGTCTTCTCTCCATTTGTTAGTTATGTAGATGCAACATACCAAAGCAATATATGCCTTATAGACCTCTGTGTAGAGATGGCAGATGTATACAGTGTTCTGAATTCCAGTTTGGACTATTTTATGCTATTGTTGTCTGAACATGATAGATTCCTTTATGATATGATTTATAACTTGTCATTCCAGGACACTGTAGTCCTCCAGACAACATTAATCTATTGATAATTCTGAAGTGAAGACGTGATTGATGCTGCACCAGAAACTGGTGGCATAGGTAAGCTCTTCTTTTCTTTCCAAACCTTTCTTGCTGAAATGCATAGCTGTATCTAGACTGGGGTTACAAAACTATTCTAACTTCTGAGGCACAGAATATAAAATTCATCGAGACTCTAATTTGTTTAAATATTTTTTTCAGATAAACTTTTTTTTTTTTACTTTTTAAAACTTTTTAAAAAACACTTTAATTCAGCAAAAATGTCTGGTTTTATAATTTTTACCATATAATTTTTAGCAATTTTTGGGTTGTCATCTCTAATCTTCCTTGGATTGATTTCTCTTTTATATTTCTTATTGAAATGGATAGCAACATATCTCCTTTCACTTCTCTCAAGGATTTTACAAGGAATTCTCTTCTGCCATTGCACAGAACATTTGGAAAGGTACCAATGAATTAATTGTCCTCTCTCATTCCAAAATCAGCAGTAGGAGTGACACTTAGGCATTTAACGATATGAATAAAACTCTACTTTTAAATTCTTGAGTATTATGTTTTTACCTCTCAAATGCTGTTCGGGTCACTAATAAACTTCTGCACTATTTGTCATAGAAAATACCCTTTATATCCTCCACAGTAAGATAAACGCTTCTTAACTGATTTCTGCAGAGGGCAAAGAAAAACATTAAAAGTAAATCCAAGAAAATACATTTAATCTACGATTGTCATGCTCTGATCTGGTTCTGCATTTCAAGACACTTCAGAGATACTATACGAAAAGTTCAAAGGAACATTTCATGTGATTTGACTGCACTGAGATTTTAACTTATTCCACAATATAGTAGGCAAAAAATATTTACCTTTTCAAATATGGCCTGATTCACTGACAGCATTGCTGCACATCTCTAAGCTCTATAGATGGTGTAATCTTAAAATTATGGACATAGCACTAAAAGAAAAAACAGGGCAAGTTTGTTGGCATGTAAAGCTGCTGTCAAGAAGGGTTAGGAGCCTACAGAGGGAGGAAAAGCTGAAATCAATACTATTTAGAAAAATAGTGAAAGACATCCTATAAGCTAAAGTAAGATCTGTAGCTGCATACAGTTCCCATTCTCCTTTCCATTGACTTGTTGGGATCCTAATCACTCACAGTACCACACAGCTACATCTATGTGTTACTGCGTCCAGAAGAATGGTTTATCCTACATCAAACTTACTGATGCCTTCAGTCTCTGTCTGGGGTATGCAGAAATATTGTCAGCCTAAGTGTTTCTGTGTATGAGGTGGGCTTGCCTTGGCTGGACACCAGGTGCTCACCAAAGCCACTTTATCATTCTAGATCCTCAGATTAATTTATTTCCAATCAAATCAGAGTAAGATAATGGCCAGTGTCAGTCTCTGCCAGCTGGCATTGTTTATGTCTGACAACAGAAGCCACCCCTTTAGACTCCTGGTACCAAAACCTTGTCATGTAACCCTAATATAGAATACCAATAACTCTTTTTTGCCTTCACAGTTATTGCAATTGTATATTTATTGACTTCTGGATTCTGAATAACCTCTTTCAATGATATTCCCTAAACATAGTAAGGTCATATCCCCATGGGTCCTGGTCAAGTTAATGGGTGGAGGGAGACTCCTATGTGAAATGGGGCATGTTTCAGAGCAGGAGCCTAATTTTGAACATTGACCTTTGGAGATGTTGATCTTTCTTCATTGACTACAGTTAAACTCAGAGCTCTTAAGCCTCACGGAGCTAAAGCAAACCTGTATGATCATATCCTCCTCTCATGCCTTTTTAACTTGGTGTTTTATCTTTATGCTAATTTCCACGCAAACAAATATCAGACACTGAGAATTTGATTTGTAATGATGACTTTGGCATTGCAAATGGTGACTATAGAGTGTGGCAAAATCTAGAAGCTTATAACTGCACTTTCAGACTTGACATATCAGTATCTTTAGGAAGAAGGCTGTTGTACATGAAACACATTCCAGCATAGTACAAGTTGCTGCAGTTTTATCCTATACATTTCTCCTAGCAAATGAAGCGTTGCCAGTAGCAGACCTTGAGGGATCAAGGATTTGTTGCTTCCAGAAGAATTTTGTAGCAGATATTTGGCAATCTTTACCTTGCTTTGGCTGAAGACTTTATAGTCTGGTCTTCAGAGAGGAATCCTTATCAGAAGTGACTAACATCTTACAAAACATGCAGTATAATGTGTTTGATCAAAAGTGCAACATTAGCAACTTGGAAATTGAGTATTTGAGCCTTCAATATGTTGCTGAGATTTTGGCTTTTGTTGTTGATTTTTTTTCTCCTTTTTTTAAAGAGTTTTATTTGCTCACTCTTCAGAGCTCAGGTTAAGTGTTCACTGTTCATTCTCAACTCTTTCTTTGCTATGTGAATTCAAGTTCTTGGTAGCACCATCTGCCCACGAGAAGAAATAACACAAAACTGTGGGCTGGAGACCCAGCATTCCAGTGTTTTCTAGTATCACAAATTTAGGAATGAGGACACATTCAGTTTCCAGCTAGCTTTCTTTAAGATTTTTGCAAATATTCTCTATCTCTCAGAGCAAAGAATTTGGAATTCATCTGGGTTTTTTCTTCTGAAAATGTAAAAGTTTGCTGAAATAGAAAAGTCCAACTATCTTACATAATTTGGATGACTATGATAAACATGATGCAGAGAGATCTAAACAGCATTGCAATTTTCTATTTAAATTATTAATTTTGACCATTCCTCTGAAAGTATGAAAATGATTCTTCATATTTTAAATCAGACAAATATTGGTACCGCTATTTTAATGACCTTCAGGTCATTATCTTAGGCTCATGAATACACATCTTCTAATATCGCCTAGTGTGCTGTTAAGTTTAATTTTAATTGACTCAAATATTTTATGTATGTTGTCTATTAATTAAGGTTGATGCTTATTCATAAATTACATAGGTTGATAAATTTGGTAGAAAAATTCAGCCTTAGCATATGTAAGTCATGTAATCTTTGAGTAAATTTGATTGGAAGTTACCCATGGATGCTATTTGTCTTAAGCACTCCAAATAAGGTCAATTTTTAAATTAGAAATGTCTTCAAAAGGAAAAAAGAAGCAAATTATTACCTATTTTTTTCTGGTTTTCTGTTATTGGTTGGGGGGGGGTTTCTTAAATAAATACTAAAACATATCCTGCATTTTGCACATTTTTTTCCTTGAAAGATATAATTTAAATTCAGCAGAATTACTTTAAAATGTAAAATAATTTGTGTTCTAGGGCCCACATAGTTCTGAAAACAGAATTTAGAAATTATAATTCTCTTCTACCTATTTAGAAATTCTCTCTCTTGACTTTTCACATGTGAAAGAAAATACACCCTAAAACTAAACATGAGTGAGTCACTTGACTCCATTGCATTTTGAATATGAAAAATGGGCAACGGGATAAGTTCCTGAAATGAACTTGAAAGACTAACATGTAAAATGTGCAAAGGAGGTTTTTATTTTTTCAAATTAGTTCATATCTCTGCTAAAGACATGCCAAGCCGAAATATATTAATTTCCTTAATGCAAATAACTTGACATTTTGACAGTCAGAGAAGCCAGGCATTCCTTAGGAAGCCATTGATAAGCCATTGCCTCTTCATGATTTAGTACTTCAAAACTTTTATTTGTAATGACCATATTTCTAATCAGAAAACTTAATGAAGAAGAAATGTTTTTCCAAATATGATCTAAGACAGTACTGTGAAATTTTCATTGAGAAAATGTAGAAAATTACTCTGTGAATTTATGAACTAAAGTATGGCAGAAAAAGCATTTTTATCACATCATATGTCCATCTTAAACATCATATGATAAACAAACCCCAGCACTCCTCTTTAGGTTTAGGTGTGACAGTATAGAAATAACTCTCTGTCTTGGCATCATGTTGTTCCGAATATGGAGAGAACTTTTGGGTAATAACACATGTGCCATCCTTCCATGCTCCTTGCCTTTCTGTAGCAATGTGCTCATGGTTGTACTTGCACTCCCATCTACTGGTGAGATTAATTGCTACTATGATCATGGTACAAAAATCTGGAAAAGAAAGTGGATCCTGAAAGAGTAATGCAAGAAGAATGACAATTTGTGTCATTAAAAACTTTACTGCTTACTAATTTTGTAGAAACCAACAGTTCCTAGATAATTTGTGTTTTCAAAATGAGTAGTATCTTAAGAGGTATTTTGCTGCTTTCCAATGCTGTGACCAACAGATTTTTCTTGGGAGTAGGATCTATGCTGGAAGTAATACCCCAAGCACTGTGAATTCTCAGAAGATCACTATTGATAATCTTTTGCTTTTAATCATTCACATTGGACTTGTCAACTTATTCCTGAGGACTGTAGTCATCCCCTATGCACCACTGACAAAAAAGAGGTACAAATACAACCAGAAGCTTAGATTTAGGATTAAAAAGAAATTTTTTTTTTTTTTTTTTTTTTTTTGGTAGGATAGGAAGGAAGTTTTGGCTGTACTAATAATTGAATTCCCATTACAAAATGCAATGTCTGGACTTCCAACTGGTGTCTTATATCTACGATGGGAAAGATTTTGTTACTTGTAAATGAATGAAAACTAATTAGTATGATTTGTGGACTATATGCTGATGCAGTCAAACTCTTTTAAAACCAATTAAGCATGTTAAAGTGAAATGATTTGCCAAATTAAAGATTAATCTATTAAGAAAGAAATAGACAAATTTAGCTCAGTTCCTGATTAGATTTCTGGGTTTATCCTAACATAATCTTACTTTTAATTTTGTTTGTAATTGTCAAATATCATCTGTAACAATCAAAGTTGTAACACAGGTGTCTTCAAACTAAAGGCACAGGTTTCTTTGTCATCCTCACTAAAGATTAACAAAATTATAGTAAATAAGATACCTTGCAGTCAGAGCATCCATATTATCCAGAAGAGCAAGCAGCCCTAGTATTAAGAGTTGTTCCCTTGGGACAAGAGTCTTTGATTCAGTGATCATGTTCAATATAGTAAGACTGAATTATTTTAACCACTAAATA